GTAGCTTAATCTCTTCCTTTTCCATTCTCGTTTTCAGTATGATTCCCAACTGAGCACGAGTGAAAATTGGCGAATTGCATCCCGGCCAGCTCCCTGTTTTCTTCCAGCGGGACTCTAAATTCCGACTTTGAATGTAAACCTTTTCTCGTCTGAAGGTATTATCTTCCTAATCGCAATGCTGCAAGACACTAAAAATGATACCTCTATTTAAGACGCCATCAATCTTTTACCTTAGCATGCATTTACATGTGCTCTTTGAGATGTTTGAGTTTAAGTCTTTTAGGAATCAGCGTAAAGAGTCACAAAACTTAAGTTGCTGCAGAGTGCAGACGACAAATGAGACACCATATTGGCGGGAATCCGACTCGAAAATTCCGTGATTATACACTTTGTGACCAACGCACATGTCCGCGACCCAAGGTCTGGCTAATAAACAAGAAATGCACATCAACGACATTATATAAATTTGGTGTCTTTAGACAATTTGTTAGACATAGCTATTTGAAGTGTTAATATATCTTTGTCGAAATTTAACTCTGCGACACAAATAAAGCTCCATAACTAAATATTGAACATCATTTGCACAAGAGGGCGGAGGGGTATGTCAGGATAGGCACTACCACAAAAACACGATGACTCAAGATGTAGAGTTGAGAAATTTTTATTGGCTGTAGATATGTACAATGTACAAACAAACAAGAGCCTCTGTAAGTGCAGATCTAGAAAAGAACGAAAAGAAAGAACAATCATGATTACATGTTCACATCAATGATACACAATCATAATCTAACACACGTGTCTGGTTTTAAATACCAATAGAATAAATTCAACTTTACCATCATCCGATTCGTCTAATAATGAAGAATGTCGAACTGTTATGATTATAATAAACTGTGTGTCCAAGACTAATCAGTCTCAACAAATATCAATCAACCGTTAGTTACCCCATCATCAAATCTTTGATATGTCATTTCATGTGTTACTCCACTAATCTCATTTAGAATCCAAGTAACTAAGATAAAATGTAGATGTTACATCAACTAACATAGACAACTCTTTACTCTTGACAAGAGACACTATGTAATCGATGTTTTCCTCTAACATGTGCATCCTGATTTAACCAACCTTAATAAAGTAATAATAAGTGCTTTGAAGTGCATATACGAAACAAAATAATGAATTATTTCAAGAATAACACAAAATATATACTGGTTCACATGTATATTCGGCTACCCTGACTCACCCAACCAAACTCTAACATCAGTTACACTGAAAAATCCTCGTTGTTCGGTGCTATACGAAACATTCCTGGATGCAGTCATCTACGAGGAATATACAACACGACACTAATGAATATCCAATACCGTGTACAAGATTGTATTTATACACCTATCTTTGGAGCTTTCTGTCAAATCCTATAACGAACCAAAATCAACGAGTACAAGCGAAATGATTAATTAATCCAACCCATCACTTTGTAATCTGACCATCACAATAATGGTTCCACACAAAACACTGATTTGTAATAATCATTATGATTTTTTTTTAAAGGTTCTTTCACTCTACGTGCCCCTTTGCTCGACTTCCAAAACATATGAGGGGCATACAAAACGAAAATCATAAATAATCTTCAGGTTTAAGAACTAACGTCGGTGAATAGTCATGCCATGATGCCAATATAACCTGTATAGAGTACCGAAGTGTGACGTTATATTAGCCAAGTTGTCAACAGGCATTAAACAAAATAGCGGCCATGTAGCAATTGTTACAATGGATAACAGACATAATAACATTTACGTTTAGATGTTATAGACATGTTTTTTTGTGTAGGACAATTTAGCATGCACTTGTGGGTCAAACTGCTTCACCGTTTTTAAGCAATCAAGATGGAACTTGGTTGACATACATAAGGTAGCCTATAGAGGTGTATAGTACTAGTATCAACATGTGTGCATCATTTGCTTCATTGTTGTACATTCCTCTCATAAAGCGGTAATGTGCGGGCTGTAATCACATTTAGTTAAAACTACATTTTCTGTAAGAAAATAAATTACAGATAAATACTCTATGGATATGTAAAGTAGACTGTAAGTGGACAACAAGGGTCTGGTATTGGGACCGTGGGGATAGCAAACCGCACGTTTCGTCCCTTAGACAGAACGTGGGAGTCACGGGCGAAATGTGCGAGCTGAAAACCCGCATACTTGGTCCGTCAGACAAACGTGTGCCCAGGACATAATATGTGTTCACATTGGCCTGTATCCGAGGGTGACTTTTAATTTCAACCTATCTGTGGGCCCTGTCGTATTAATATGAGTTGTGATTGATATCAATCGAAAAATAAGTTTCGATTAGTTGTTAATTTGGCAGTGCCCTAGTCTTAATTAACTCCATGACAACTTTTTTAATCATCTCCTTGTAGACGCTTTACAATGGAAATTTGGAAATAAACTCAAACCCAGTGCTAAGAATACCTTGACTTGAGATAAAGATTTGTTACATTTAAACTAACCTTCCATGCTAGTAAACAACTCGACATCCATTATGTAGTTTCCCAAAAGCATACCAGTAGATGTCTGCACGATGGTCAATTTATCGTTGCATTCATTGTACCAGTCTCCCTGTAAATCACAAAAATGACTTGAAAAAGAAAGAAATATGTTAAAGCATTAGATCATGCATTTAAAGAAGCAGGCACAACACCACCAACAGCTCTCTCTCTCTCTCTCTCTCTCTTTCTCTCTCTTTCTCTCTTTCTCTGCGTTTCTCTTTCTTGGTCGGGAATATTTGTAAGAAGGGAAATCTCTCCACCCCCCTTGCCCTTCTTCAATACGCTAGTGCTAGATATACGCCTTGTGGCAGGTACATCTTTGCAGCTTCACGAACGCTTGATAATAATAATAATAATAATAATAATAATAATAATAATAATAATAATAATAATAATAATAATAATAATAATAATACCAAAAGACTTTATAGTTTGTGAAGAGCCAGAAACTCTAAAGTGTGCGGCGGTCATTTATAACCAGAGAGATTCAGGATTATCAGAGAAGCGAGGAGGGGTCACATTCAAATCTTGAATACTGCTACCCATCTCTTAGCTCTCTCAGTGGGGGGGAGAAAAAGATACAAAGAATGTTATTTATTCTCAATAGGGGCGTTTTCGGCCCCTGGATCTGCCTTTGTATGGGGGGGGGGGGGGACTGGCGAAACTTGTTTTTGAATACTGGGATGACATTCAGCGCCTTACCTGTACCTAACTCATAAGCATGTCATACTTACATGTGCTTGAGTGCTTGTGAATAATGATTCAGCCGGATTGCGACCTCCTTAAATTGCTGGAGCGCGGTACAGTAAGAGGGGTATTCTTTGCTGATCCGTGATGGATTATTGGTCCGCAGTGTATCACCTAAATAAGGGGAACCTGTAGAAGGCAATGTCAAATCACTGCAGTATCTTTGCAAAGAATAATCATGGCTAGACATCTAAAAAGAAAACATAATGGGGAAAATAATTTTTCTTCTCATCAGAAGGATTATTCTGTGCATGCTCGATAGTGACTGTCATGTGGGACAGGTGACACCAGACCGTCATCCAGCCACTGTACGCAACAGTCGTCTAATGCAAACTATCCTCATGGTTGATGTTCATGCTTAAGTTGATCACGGTAGAGCTGACGGCATAGTATGGACCTGGAACTAGAAATGAAAGAGGAGAGAGATGGATAGAGTGGTGTACATGTCAACATCAAGTTATTACAAATACATGTGGAGACTGTGGACTTGGTAAAGTCTAGGCGACAGGTCCAGAAACCGGAGTGACTACATCACCGGAAACAGGAAATGTCGGAACTCTATACATCGAGCTAGTTGGTTTCCAGGAGCTGACTGCTACAGCGACTATGTGCTCACCATATGTCACATGCGGGTCAGGCTTAGAACGTTGAAGAAGATGGAGGCAAGCCAGAGATTGGAACTGAACCTTGTAAGAGAGGACAAATAACTGAAGGAAAAGTACTAATTGGCAGGAAAATTAGGTTCAGCATGTTATAGGTTGCGGGGGGTGGGGGAGGGGGGATGAGTCTTAATGGCCAAGGTTTTCTGAAGCTGTCTCCAAGGTATAATCTGTTTGATGAGCCATGCCACTAAGCTCATTCTGAGAGTTCTCCTAATGAAAGTAAGATCAAAGATTCGACAAGAGATATCAGAAGTGCAGTATGAATTTATAGACAGTATGGGAACTAGGAATGCTATGTTTGCCCTGCATGTGTTAACTGAAAGAGCATTGGAGGTGCGGAAAGATGTATATTAGTGCTTAAATAGAATAGACAAAGGCCTTCGATTGAGTAGACATGAAGACCTAATAGCTATTTTCTGTAGGTCAGACATTGACTGGTAGGATCTGCGGCTGATAAGTAACCTGTACTGGAATCAGAAAGCTGCAATCAGGGTTGAAAGGGGGTGACCAGCGAATGTACAGAGATCAAGAGAGGAGTCCGGCAAGGCTGCGTAATGGTTACTGTCTTTTTCAGGTTGAATGACAGCTAGGCCCAGTTATTCAATTTCATGTAAGATATTTCACGCATTTTTATTTCGCTGTATAGCGAGGTGACAACGCGTGGAATATCTGACATGAAGGGTATTATAGTTGACGGCCAGAACGTAACCAACCTAAGATTATCATGTCAATGATACTGCCCTAGCTGCAGGCAGCAGGTATAAGTTGCACGCACTACTGAATAAAGTAGCCATCGAAAGTGAAAACCTGGGCTAGCTGTCATTCAACCTGAAGAGGACAGAATGTTTGGTAGTTTCCAAGAAGAAAGATGAAACCAGTTGTTGTAATTTCCACATGCATCTGAACGGGAGGAAGCTTGCCCTACTTCATCCAAACAATCGACACTGTGAGAGAGAGAGAGAGAGAGAGAGAGAGAGAGAGAGAAAGAGGGGAAGATAGAGAAGGAAGAGACAGACAGATAGACAGAGAAAGAAGGGAAATAAGAAGAAGGAGGAGAAAATGGTGCAACAGAAGAAGAGGAAGGGGTGGCGGAGCAGGAAGATATGGAGGAAAATGAGGAAGAAGAAGAATACTCCAAACTCCAAATTCAAAAGCAGAAACAAAATTTCAAAGCTACAACTTCCGACAATGTTTTGCAGAGACTTGCGTCTCATCCCTACCCCCGCCCCCCTTCGGTGACACCCTGATTTTACCTATTTAACATGTTTTATATCTTACCCAAGTCACAAAGATCCCCTTCAAAGCCCGGTGCGCATTCACAGATGTAGTCAGCTCTGGAATTGACGCAGGTAGATCCGTTTGCGCAAGGGTCACTCATACAGGCGTCCACAACTAAAATGGGATTGGATTTTAATAATATTAAAATCAAAATAATATACATATTTTGTTTTGATTATCACAACAAAGAACCAAGGAATAACCCCTAGTCCATTGTTGCCACAGACAGTGGTGTTGACGCATATACAAACGGTCATAAACTGTCATCTCGTTGCACCTCGACAGGCTGTCCGTTCCAAACGTTATCTGAGAAATTTTATTTTGGTTAAATAATAATATTGTTTATAATTTAATAAGAAATTTACAAATTAAATCATATGGTGTATAGACTTAAATGAGGTACTATCACAACAGTTGATTTTCCGATCAACCATTCATCAAAATCATAAAATATGGACATTAAAATAACCTCCCCCCCCAAAAAAAAAAAAAAAAAAACCTTTTATGACATTCCGTAAAGTTCGATATTTTATCAAGTTGATAAATGGTTGATAGGAAGCTCAAATGTTGTTGAAGTACCTAATAATTATAAGTTATAATATATTATATGATTATTGAAGCGGTATAACTTCAGAAGTAAGAATAACACTTGTAATCATACTTACAAACGAATCGTATTATAAGCTGACGAAGAACTTATTATCAATGTACAGAAACAATTGGTTGCTTATACCTCTATGCTTATTACCCAATGATCGCAGTTCATTGTAAAATTAAAAAGATAAACATCCAATCCAATGTGGGGATTAGCAGATCAGTAGTATACAGTTACCTAATATCAAAACGCAGATGAGACTGACAAAAATACTTTTGAATATGCCGTTCGTAATTCACCTGGGAAAGACTGGAATAGTGGCTTGTTGTAAGGATTGTGGAATGCTAAGACACAATTATGTAAATGTTTGCATAAATGTCACTTGCTGTGGAAACCATGCATTGTTGAACACAGATGAATGTTGTACTTACGTGTCTCGCAGTTTGTACCCTTTGCACCTACGGAACACATGCATGTGTAGCCATTTACCTCATCGTCGCACGTACCGCCATTTTGGCATGGGCCACTCGCGCACTCATCGATATCTGAAAAGACAAATATTATTATGTAATTATTAAATGAAAAAGGTTTCATCTTTACAAAAAAATAAGATTTAATTCTTCTAAAGACGGCAGTATGCGCAAATGATTACACTTATAGCTTTCTTCATTCCGATGAATCTGAAAGATTTATGTTTGAGAGACTGCTCTTAGATAATTGTATTACTGTTCGGAAAGGCGGCTTAATGTTGGAAAGCGACAGCATAATATGCAGTGGTGGAAATAAGTTGCTGAAAACTCGTTTCCTAGTAATCGTGTTTCGAGGGCGCTGGGCATGTCTGCAAAGTTCCATGACAAGCAAGCAACCCCAATAAACAGATAAATAAATGAATGAATAAATAAATAGAGAAATAAATAAATAAATATAGTTATCCCAAGTTGGTCTATAAGCCCTGTGTAGCTTGACTGTTCCCTGTTTCTTCTTGTAACAATTGATATGACCTACTAGATAGACACATAATGTCAGTCCATCCAGGAGCACACTGGCAGCTGAATTCGTTGAATCCATGAGTACACGTCCCACCATTAGAACAAGGGTCACTAGCACATTCGTCAATATCTGTAGAGAAAGCAAAATGTAGATTTATTTATCCAACCATTTAATTTAATTTCATGGCAAAGAGAGGAAAACAAAGTATAGAGACAAAGAAGGTAGAATATACTATCGTTGAATCCTAGTGATAGCCATAACCAAGAAGGACATTTGTTCAGGAGGGTTAGATATGAATTGAAGGTCTGCGAGTGTCACAAATAAGGTATCAACATTATGCTCACCTGACCCTTAGTAAATGCCTATACCCCCTGAACTTCTGGGGGCTCCACCCCTTGATCCCCTAGACCCCACGCCAATTTACGCTACGCTCTACCTGATCGTAAATACCACCTCCACCCTCACCCCACGCCCAACTAATTAGAGAATCGTTCAGCGAGGCCTGCATGTTAGAATGGGGTGATGGGGTGACAACAACAACAAACAAACACATATTTTGCTCGCATAATTTCAAATTTGGCCCCCCCTAAGAAATCTTGGATCCGCGCCTGGATACGAGTGTTTCCTTTTTTTATACAAAGTGCCCTTCTGCTTCTGAATACATGGTGTCGAGGTCTGGCGGATACGTCACTGGACTTTGGCACACATGGTTCGCAGTTCAAGTCCCGCCGCGACTCTAATGTCCTTCTACAAGACATAAATCGACATTTCCACTCTCCACCCAGGTGAGAGAAAAACCCAATCTTAGTCCAGAGTTGATCTCTAATACAAGTCTAAATACTAATAAATTCCAAGACATACATTCATTGAATGCTTTAGCGTCTCGGGGCCCCTGGTGGGGTCGAAGGTGCGGAAACCCCTGAATCTCAGGGGTTTCAGGCATTTGATTACGGTCAGATGAACATATTTTTATACCTTATTTGTGACACTGGCAGGACACTGATTGGCGTGAGGTCCAGCGGGCGGAGCCCCCAGAAGCTCAGGGGTTTTAGGCAACATCATCGTCAGATTAGCATCCAGTGGGGTCCAGGGGGCAGAGCCCCGGAAGCTCAGGGGTTTAGGCATCTGATTAGTACGGTCATATGAACATATTTTTTATACTTTTCAAAGCTACAACTTCCGACAATGTTTTACAGAGACTTGCGTCTAATCCCTAGCCCCACCCCCCCCCCCTTCGGTGACACCCTGATTCTACCTATTTAACTTGTTTTATATCTTACCCAAGTCACAAAGATCCCCTTCAAAGCCCGGTGCGCATAGACAGATGAAGTCAGCTCCGAAATTGACGCAGGTAGATCCGTTTTCGCAAGGGTCACTCATACAGGCGTCCCCAACTAAAATGGGATTTGATTTTAATAATAATAAAATCAATATAATATACATATTTTGTTTTGATTATCACAACAAAGAACCAAGGAATAACCCCTAGTCCATTGTTGCCACAGACAGTGGTGTTGACGCATGTACAAACGGTCATAAACTGTCATCTCGTTGTACCTCGACAGGCTGTCCGTTCCAAACGTTATCTGAGAAATGTTATTTTGGTTAAATAATAATATTGTTTACAATTTAATAAGAAATTTACAAATTAAATCATATGGTGTCTAAACTTGAATAAGGTACTTTCACAACAGTTGATTTTCCGATCAACCATTCATCAAAATCATAAAATATGGACATTAAAATAACCGACCCCCCCCCCCCCCCAATACCTTTTATTTCATTCCGTAAAGTTCGATATTTTATCAAGTTGATAAATGGTTGATAGGAAGCTCAAATGTTGTTGAAGTACCTAATAATTATAAGTTATAATATATTATATGATTATTGAAGCGGATGTAACTTCACAAGGAAGAATAAAACTTGTAATCATACTTACAAACGAATTGTATTATAAACTGACGAAGAACTAATTACCAATGTACAGAAACAATTAGTTGCTTATACCTTTATGCTTATTACCCAATGATCGCAGTTCATTGTAAAATCAAAAAGATAAACATCCAATCCAATCTGGGGATTTGCAGATCAGAGGTATACAGTTACCTAATACCAAAACGCAGATGAGACTGAAAAAAATACTTTTGAATATGCCGTTCGTGATTCACCTGGGAAAGACTGGGGTAGTGGCTTGCTGTAAGGATTGTGGAATGCTAAGACACAATTATCTAAATGTTTGCATAAATGTCACTTGCTGTGGATACCATGTATTGTTGAACACAGAGGAATATTGTACTTACGTGCCTCGCAGTTTGTACCATTTGTACCTACGGGACACATGCATGTGTAGCCGTTTACCTCATCGTCGCACGTACCGCCATTTTGACATGGGCCACTCGCGCACTCATCGATATCTGAAAAGACAAATATTATTATGTAATTGTTAAATGTAAATTGTTTCATCTTTCCAAAACCAAGATTTAATTCTTCTAAAGACGACAGTTTGCGCAAATGATTACACTTATATCTTTCTTCATTGCGATGAAGATGGAAGATTTACATTTGAGAGACTGCTCTTAGATAATTGTATTACTGTTCGGAAAGGCGGCTTAATGTTGGAGAGCGACAGAATAATATGCAGTGGTGGAAATAAGTTGCTGAAAACTCGTTCCCTAGTAGTCGTGTTTTGGGTCGCTGGGCATGTCTGCAAAGTTCCATGACAAGAAAACAACCCCAATAAAAAGATGAATAAATGAATGAATAATAAATAGAGAACTAAATAAATAAATATAGTGATCCCAAGTTAGTTTTTACGCCCTGTCTAGCTTGACTGTTCCCTGGTGCTTCTTGTAACTATAAAATGACCTACTAGTTTCACACGTAAGATTGGTCCGCCCAGGAGCACACTGGCAGCTGAATTCGTTAATTCTGTCAAAACACGTTCCACCATTAGAACAAGGAGTACTAGCACATTCGTCAATGTCTGTAGAGAAAGCGAAATGTAGATTTATTTATCCAACCATTTAATTTCGTGGCAAAGAGAGAGAGAACAAAATCAAAAGAAGGTAGAAATACAATCGGGGCATCCCAGTGATAGCCATAACCAAGAAGGACATTCGTTCAGGAAGGTTGGATAGGAGTGCAAAACCAGTGATGTAATCGTACCTTCCCTTAAGTCGTGAACACGACTCATACATCTCCTGATCATGGTATGGTTCACGAATCCATCTTTTGGTTGCTTACATGTCAAGTATAGTAGACATATAAAACGTACATTTTCATTATTATCTATATGCTTTTGTCTCTTCAAATCTATTCGCGATAACGAAAAATAAAACCCGAGAGTAATGGAAGAGGGGGAATGCAAACTGAAAAGCAGATGTCCGTTCAGATATAGCCCTTTTCTACACCACCGTATTTGAGTGATTTTTGTATACAGACGTGTATCAATCGGATATGATAATATATTTCTCATTCAATCGTTGAAGAGGTTCATCTGTTTGGTGATGTAACTTAAAAGTTATTTCTTCCTTTATAGTTCAGCTTTTGAAGCATTTCATAGTCATGGTAATAAAAAAAGCATTATGAAAAGGATGCCAATTAAATTCCTTATGAATCGAGATAGACAAAAGATAGCTGAAAATGTTGGTCTAAACACCTGTGCGTAGTCCCATATATCTTTTTTGTTCGTGCGGTGCATGCCATCAACAATAAGACGGAGTCAGTTTCTTATCCTTTTTATCATTTCGAAACTCCACATTACATACCAATTTTTATGTACTACATAAGCAACATTTCCCATAGCTTCCAGAACAGTTTCTATCAAAATGTGATTACATGGCCAGTACTCAGCTTTATATTTAAACTTCATATGAGAGCTTCATATCACAAGAACATATCGGTGAGATGATTCCTAGAGTTTTGGTATACTCACTGTATGCACATAAAGGACCGGTCCATCCATCCATACAGTCACACCTGTAGCTGTTGATTCCATCCATGCATATTCCGTTGTTCTGACAGGGTGTGCTTCCACACTCGTTGAAGTCTATTTGATAGTGAAAATATAAGAGGAGAGTGGGGTTGTTATAAGACAAGCACGCGCTTATTATTTACATCAGAGTTCACTTATTGGCTTGAGAGACAGAAACGACAAGCCAAGATCCAGGTATGTAAAGCCATTTAGACAATTATATAATGTCACAGCTTAAACTTTCGACAATCCTGTGAGTCATTCGACTGATCCCCATAGATTAAACTGAATGTTGACAGACCCACACACACACACACACACACACACATATATAACACATAGATATATACATATATATTGTCCAGCAGTAAGTAACTAGAAATTATCATATTCCTAGTATCTTTACACGCAGTATATCAAAGAAAACACACATGCATACACCAAACATACTTACTTATTTGACAGTTTTTTCCGATGAATCCAGGCTCGCAAGTACAACTGTAATCATTGATCCCATCCATACATGACCCGCCATTCAAACACGGGCCATTAGCACAGTCATCAATATCTAGGTGAAGAGAGTAGGAAAGTCACATTAGGTAAGGTAACTTATTTTTTGGTCGGATACGGTCTTCCATAAATCCCTCCCAAATGACTGAAAACACATTATAAATCTTCACTATTCCACAATTTTTGTTTAAATCCATATAAATTAAGCTCTACATATAATATCGGAACCTGTATTGTCCATGAATCATTTAAATTCAAGTATTTTATTCATTTCAAGTTGAAATAATATGCATTTTTACAAATAGATACGTATACAATACATCATAATTTAACATTCGATATGATATACATTTTTAAATAAATGTCTTAGACTTAAAAAGAACCAAACCTCCTCCACAAATATAATTTTTCACAAGAATGGATAAATATTAAGGCAAATGAGATCAAATAAATTAAAAATATCAGAACAATCATTCGTACAGCCAACCAATTTTTAAAAAGAAGGTTTATCGTGATCTTTCCTCAAACTATGTTGGCAAAATAACAAAATAACAAATTTACGCGGCGTGTAAAGTGTTCGTTCCAGAAAACCGTCAGAAAATTACATGTTGCTTTGTTTTTTGCTTAATTCTTTGGGTTTGTTCGTTTTCTTTGTTTGTTTGTTTTGGTAGGATCTATTTTTTCTGTAATTGATGTGAATGTATTATATTCATCACTTACCTAGGAAAATGTATTTTTTGGTTTCATATTACTCAAAGCTTTGTTGGAGGCTATTTGTTTTCAATAACTTACAATAGATAAGTAGAAAATTTAGCTTATTCTTAAGACGACTTATTTCTGTATACACCATGTGATTTCATACGTCTAAATGTATAACATTGTTAATATGTTGATGTATAATAAACATCAAATCAGATTAAATGTTATATGAACAGTAGCGAGCCAATACAGGTCATCTAATACAAGGAATGCTGGTATAACCAGCTGTCCCCTATACTGATATTTTTGCGCAATAATCTTACGCTGAATCCCATAATGATCTATTAAAAGGGTTTGGATGGAGTGATGTTGACGTACACCACAGGATTAAAAGAAATATTCTGCAGAAGTCTAAGTATATTGGTTGATTCACTTGAATCTTAATCTAAGGGTTGAGGGTTCGAATCCAAGCCCGATACTAACATCGTTCGGCGAGGCATTAATTCACATTCGCCACTCTCCACTCAGGTGTAAGTGGGTACCTGACAATTGATGGTAATAATAGTCTTGTACGGCCCCAGCTAGAACAGCTTTTATGCTGATAAGGCTGCCATGGACAAACAAATTTTGATAATTTTATCATTATTATTGTTGTTATGATTAATATTGTCATCATTATTATTATTATTGCTATTATTATTATAAGTATTATTATTATTGCTATTAATATTATTATTTTATTATAAGTATTATTATTATTGTTATCATTGTTATTATTATCATATTATGATGATCATCATTAATATTATTATCAATATCATTATTAATATTACTTTAAGCAATCTTTGTATTAATATGGTTTTTAAGTAAAACAAAATTGGTACATACTGTTTTCGCAGTGGGTTCCGTCGAAACCGGTGCCTGTGCATAAGCAGAAATAACTGTTGACCCCGTCCACGCAAACACCACCATTTTGACACGGTGCACTCATACACTCGTTGATGTCTGGAACAGATCAAGAGAAGAAGGACATGAAATCGGTCTCTTGGTTCATGATTAGATATATGCAGAATTTGCTTCTTCTTTGTCATTCGAAAGCCTTGCACATACACACAACTCCTTTTCTCCTTTGAAATCTATGCAGATCCGGCTATATTGGTACATATTTACTTTATTCTGCAAAAAAGTAAATACTGCACAAATATTTCTCATTTTCACTGTGATTTTCAGGAAGATGGTACTAAATACTTTATTCTGACTTTGAGGATTCCGTTATATCAGACCTCAATGAAAAAGTGTGAATTAAGAATGTAAGAACAAAAAAAAAACACAGTTTTCATAGTTTCATGAAGATACTCAAAGCTATCCCTTTTCATATTTTGAATATATGGGCATTTGAAGAGCCACCCTTGTCAGTCAGAGGACATTTGCTCTATGACATCTTTCCATACTAACATACAAAGAATGAAAACAAAAATCACACATTACTTTTCACTTTTCACTGAACTCAACTATCTATTTGAACTGAAATTCGGAGTAAATCCTCAAATATCAAAGGAGGAAACACTTACTTGTTTGACATTCGTCGCCCGTGTATCCTGCTTCACATGTACACGTGTACATGTTAGTTTCATCTGTACATGTACCTCCGTTCTTACAAGGGTTGGAAAGACACTCGTTAATATCTGGATAGTGAAAAGAAGTGAAACAAAATGAAAACCACAATAATGCTGAACACTCCACCCTAAACGTTTTCCAGCTTGAGGGTTGGTATATAATTGGTTACGCTTCAATATACACAATTGTATAATGTGTGTCAAACTAATGATCACTTTTGACAAGAATATGCACAATATTCCTCACACGGGGGAAAACGAGAATTTTGCATTTTTTTGTTTTGTTTATTTGTTGTTGTAGCATTTTTTTTGTACCTATCTATCAATATGTTTATTTGAGAAGGGGCGGTCGCACAATCGTTGATGTCTAACATGAACATATTCTAGCCTACAAACAAAACTAAAAAAACATAATTATAAACAAACTGTGCATCTAATGTTTCAGTTGAGGCAAGATTGGCCTGATTTTATGTTGCATGAAATGGACTTGTGTGTCCCAACTACAACTATACCTATTTTTCAGGTATCCGATTGGATGAATGATGCTTTAAGGGATCGTTTAACAATGTTAAATATGAGATGCACGGCCCTACATGTTATTAGTGTCTGTGATATGGTGTTATATTAAAATCCTTAAAAAAAAAAAAGCGCTTCAAAATGATCAAGAAGTGCCTTAAAAAAGTAAAAACCTTTGAGTGACTGGTTCTACCATACTCGTTTTCCCAAATAGACTGTAGTGTTATGAAAACCGTTTGGCAAATGCAAAATTTGATTTCGATTTTCAATCATAAATATCTTGATAATTAGACGGGCGATCGGCTTGTTAAAGTCATGGGGTTACTGACTAGCCTAAAGGTTTATAATTATCATTGCAGCATCCTTTAAAGGATCTAAGACAAATTTACCGGAACCCTTTAAATCAGCATACAAATAAATAAAGTATATACTAGTTTAATAGTTCGTTGTTACTACGCCCAGGTTCTCGTTGTATGTAGGGTTCCGTTCAATATTTCACAAGAACGGTTCACGGGTTTTCAGCATTTCTTCAGAGCAACTTGTTATCACGATTGGATTCCCCTTAATGTACCCAAGTAGGCCAACCATAGGAGAGGAGTTAGGGAAAAGTTCCCATTTTGTTATTTTTTTCAACAACAACAAAAACACTATAAAAGTTGTCAAAGATCACCATATACTTCAGCAAGAACGCATATAAACCAGTTATGTCATAAGGCCCAGAACGCATTTATGTTTATTTTTTTTTTAAAAACACGTTACAGATTTATGAGGAGAAAATCTAGCTGAAAGGCCGTTACTTAGGACGATGTAAATGAATGAAATCGGTTTTGTTGCAGAATTAATGATTTTATTTGATGCCCTCACATCCGTGTGGTATGGGCGGCCTGTCAAAAG